AAGAAAACGAATCTTCATTCATTTATTGCTTCTAGAAATTGTGACTGAGAACACCAACCTTTCGTCAGAAAGAGAAAGTGGTGGAATTAAGGGAGGAAACTTTCCAAGTTTGTACACATTTTTTAACTGGTTTTAACATCAATGTCTGGCTAAAAATGCTACTTAAATATGCCCCAGAATGCTGGAAAATACGTCACAGAGAGTTTCGCATTTCAAAATTTTACGGGGGAGCATGCCCCCGGGCCCCATAGTGAGGCGTGTTGCGTAGCAACACGCTGTGCTTGCTCTGCAAGCACAATTTACTTCAGCCGCCTACTCAGTTTAGATCAGACACCTATTACATTTTCTAATGACAACCCTGCACCCTGGGATTCCCAGAGAGCTATAGAGTACTAACTTGAACTTCAAATTTTTCTCTCTCTGAACTTTTTCTTTTTCAGGGGAGTCTCTTATACCACTTGGGAAAACGAGGACAAAGTTGTTGAGCATACTGAGGTAACAAGCACCCACGATTTTTGAAATTTGTCTCCTTTTGATCTCTGGTTTGCAGAATTATTTTCGTATACTCTTGTCTGTTTAAATTGAGTGTCTCTCTTGTATTCCTACTCAACAGCTGAAACTGATAGACTTTTCTGATAGAGGCCAGTTCCATTTCTCACATTCTGAAATGTTTATGGTGAAGTTATAACAGTACGCGAAAGCCGGAGCGTAAACTTAGGAAAAACATGTCAACTCCTGTGCCAAATTGAAATATTTTAGTTTTTTTTTTTAGGAACTACATCCGCAATACAGTGATCATCCCAAGTTTAGGAACTACGCGTTTGATGTGCGTGAATTTATGAGGCTAGTGGAACGGACAGTTAAAAAAGTGAGGCAATCTATGGATGAATACTCTAAGAAGCATGGTAGCTGACACCAGGAGACTTCAAAAAACGTCAAGAAACAATGGTTCATTAGAGACTAAAAGCCCTGAGTCATGCCAACTTTACGTCACCAGATCAAAGACCTTCGACGTCAAAGAAAACCGGAATCCACTAAGAAAATCATTTAGGTCACAACTTGTAAAACCTCTCAAATCCTCGTGCTTTACACTACAGTCTTAAATTCTGGTCTCGTGTTTCCCGCGGAGCGTCACAGCGAAATTAACGGTGATACTCTCAGGAATACGAAACTAACTGTTCCCATCGAGACCAAATTTTATGCATAGAGGAGGAATAGATCCAAAGATAGGGGCCAAGTCTTAGTATGTGGAGATACCTGCTGAACAACTATGGCAGCTTTTGGGTCTCTAGTATTTTTCAAACAGCTGACCTACAGTAACAGCACAACCCGCTTTTTTTACGAATTTAACCGTGTCTCGGTGGGTAAGAGTTACTGACTGACTTGATAACCACCAATCATGGTCTCGTGCTCGACACTGAAAGCTTTGTCTAATTCCAACCCCAGTAGGCAAAAAACCGACCTTAAAGCGCATACAGGGACGTTTTTACTCCTAGTCAAATAAAGTATCTCATGGCTGAATGAAGTTTGTTCTTGATGTGTTGAATTGTCAAAATACACCTTCCGCAGCTTCACCGTTCATTTACCGCCTTTGATAGCCAATTCAAACAGAATGGCATTCATATGTGGACCGTTCATTGCCAAAGTTACACAATTGCATATGAATATGTTATCCTTGACAAATGGCTGAATTGCACGGGCGAATCGCTTGACCCACTGACCCCTTTCTTAAAGCAAGCCGTGAAAAGGTCTAATGAATAAAGGGGGCAAGTTTCTAAAGAAACTGTGGTGCTACGTCGGTGGGTGAAACAAGGTCATTTGGGTTTTGTCAACTGAGTCGATAATGTAATTTTGGCCACCTTTTAGACGTCTCTTGTGTTTCAAAGCTGACTTTTCGAGCGTTAGCCCTTTCGTCATTCGCTCTGTGAAGAGGTCGGCCCAGGCTCCATTGACCGATTAATCAGCACAAATTTCATTGATTCCGGAAATTTGTAACGCAGTCCAACTCGGCCATCACCTTGGTGGCGAACGAAATGCGGCTAGTTTATTTAGCCTCAGCGCTTAGATTTCGTTACCAGTTAGGAAGATCATCTAGGATACACCGTGGATCAGTTGCAGCAATTAAATGCATCTTTTCGCGGTGGAATTCTGGACATGTTCACTCAACAACACCACCAGTATTCGATTCCAAAGTTGGATTCACCGACTACGAGAAGGAGCGGAGAGAATTTCACATCAGGGTTCCAGAGTACTTCAACTTTGCCAATGTTCTTGATGATTGGGCGCAAAAGGAAAAGGCATTAGTCTCAAACCAGGTCATTACACTCTAAATTGTCACGGTGGTTAGACGCTTGATCGTTTCAGTGCACGGGTTAAGTTGTTGTGCATTTTGCTGTACTCAAGGGAAGATATTAGATATTAGCTCAATAGAGCTACTCTGAAAATTCGAGTTGAAATAAAGTATATGTATGTATGTATGCAAGGGAATTTTTAATGATTCGAGAGAAGATTCAAATCACGGCAAGCGTTAAAAAAATGCCTCCATAGTTTTGATATCCGATGGTAATCACAAGGGAGCTTGAGAATGTAACAAAAAGGTTAGTTTCGTACCGTGAAACCAAAGATCACTTAGCTTGATTTTGTAACAAAAATTAATAGGTGAAGTTCCCTTTTGTGGATTTTGCGTGACATCAACATTGTCTTAGAACTGATCGTTGTGCATTCATTCTTGATTTAGTGAGCATGGGAATTTACATAATGAAATTACTTGTTATGCTGTCTACGCTTACATGAAGGAAAGATGATCCGTCTTGTACTTAAAATACTCACCTTTCAAACGTAGAACTACGTGTCAAATGATGTTTGAAAGCTTCTTTATAATTCTTGACCTTAGAATGATGAATAATAGCGATCAGGAACTTTCTTGCATGAAAGCGATTCTCGTAGTAATGAACACTATTTATGTAGAAGTGAAAATAAGGCCTGAAAAAAAATTCAGGCCCGCACGGGATTTTAACCCTTGACCTTTTCGATACCGGCGCAGTGTTCCAGCTCCACCAACTGAGCTAACTGAACAAGCATAACAAGAAACTTTCTTATTCATGCTTTTTTCTTTGACTGAATTCTTTCTTAGACTGGAGAACGGACAGAAAAGAATCCGGCCTTCTGGTGGGTCGATGATAAAGGAAAACAAATAAAATGGTCATTCCAGCAACTTACCGAAAACAGCAGAAGGTGAACATTATCAAATTTAAGACTCACTCAATTAATGCGCCGCTTTAAATTAGCCTGTAATCTCTGGTACTGAGGCTATTTCAGCTGTAGGAGCAGCAAGTTAAGTGTGGATCACGCAGTGAACAGCTGATCCCAGAGAGTAGATTTTTCATTGGCAATTTTTATTTCCAAAATTTTAGTGGTCCCCTTCGCTGATGTTGTGAAAGGAAATAACTACATGTACTTTCTTTGTTATTTTCAAGGACTGCAAATGTTCTAGCGGGTGCATGTGAAGTTCAGAGGGGAGACCGTGTCATGGTCATTTTGCCGAGACTTCCAGAATGGTGGCTCATTAACATCGCTTGCCTGAGGACAGGTAAAAACTGGAATACTTTTTTGAAATATCATCACTCGGTCACCACTAAGATTTTTCAGTGACACTCTGCCTTAAAATTGTGTCCCGGTTATTCTCTGTGTCTTTGTCTGGAGATTGAGGGTACAATCAGATGCGCATGCAGATCCTCAGAATTCCTAACTACCCTTCGTTCTTTTAACTTTGTCTAACATTTGAAATTTCTTAACAGCCTTGTAGCAGTTCATTAGATGGAAGCCAAAAGGCTTTCTAGTTGCAATCTTACATGTCATCTTTGTTTTGTTGTCTTTTGAATTAATTCTCGCACCCCCTCTAGGAAAAATAGGTCCGTAATGCGTACATGTGTTGCTTACGAAATTGAGCTGCTTTCTAGTGTCTGATGTGTTATTGAGTTTCTATTAGAAGAGCTAATATCTGATTAAGTTAGACAGTTTTCAATATTGTTCCTGTTCATCGATAAAATAAGATAACTGGCATACAATAGTCTTGAAAGGTTCATTTTCAAGATGAGGGTTAATGGGCAAACTTTGTAAAGGATCGAGGCCTCACTTTGACAACAAAGGTTACACATGTAACCTGAAGATTTTAGCAACTAAAATAAGGGTCAGGATCATCTCCCGTAGTGGCCTAATAGATCCAGTCATGATTATGTTTACATAACAAAGTGGAATTGAGTTCTGAAGTTTATAGACCTAGGTTGATTGTCTTTTCCAAGGCAAGTGATGTGAAATTAACTCTAGGGAAGCGTTTCATTTGAATATTTTTGGTATTTTGTGTACCAGTACACGAGGACAGAATTTTCCAGAAGGCTGAAACATTCGGGAAATGATGAAAACTACACTAGAACCCATTGGGAGCTTGATTTGGTTTGAATGTTGGACAATACATACATGTAAAGTAACACAATGCTGAGTGTAGGTTTCTATTATCCATTAGGGCACAAAATTCTATTTTCAGTTGGTTGAGAGCAAAATGTTTACTCTAATTATTGTATTTGGATTTTGTGGGACTGTATTTTCAATAAAGAACACAGAAAAATTTAGTAGAGGTAGGTGGATATGGGGTTGCAAATGGAAGAATCTAGGGAAAAAAGAGAGGTGCATTTTTGAAATAACAATATCAATAATAAGAAGACTTGAAAGATTCTGGTACTTTAAATCATGATACCATCATGCGCTTGCCTGCACATATAACTCTGTTGTGTTTAAGTTATGTCTGATTACTGTTCCTGAAATCTATTATGGTGACACCTATCTCTATTGAACCTCCTGTTGAATAAAACCTCCAGGTCAAAGTGTGAATCTTAATGGGTTAAAAGTGATTAGCAGTTTAAATGTAATGTTACTTCAGAGTACTACCTAAGATATTTACAAGATGAAAACACAAGCACTAGCTATTTTAATGAATCATATGTTAGGTAGTACTCTGAAGTAACATTACATTTAAACTGCTAATCACTTTTAACCCATTAAGATTAACACTTTGACCTGGAGGTTTTATTCAACAGAAAGTTCAATAGAGATAGGTGTCACCATAATAGATTTCAGGAACAGTAATCAGACATAACTTAAACACAACAGAGTTCAGTGTGCAGGCAAGCACATGATGGTATCATGATTTAAAGTACCAGAATCTTCCAAGTTTTCTTATCATTGATATTGTTATTTCATGCCAGTGTGCTTTCCAAATTCAAGCTATGTCGGTGGAGACATGAAATGAAAAGGTGCACTTGACATCATCATGTAAATGGTCAATTTGACATGCTATCAAAATTTGTCCTTCAGCTGAAATCTTACTCAGGAATGCACTTTTGTCAGTTTCTATCAATATACCAAAAAAAAAAAAATTCAAGCTTTTGTTTATTTCGGTCAGATACTATGTGTATCAATCAGGACAACCTACTTTGTGTGATCTATTGTTGCTGAGGCTACTAGTAGTTTACATTTGTACTTGAGTAATTACTTTTGCTCTAGTGATGAAAAAGACACCTAGCTGTTTTCAGCCAATCAAGAGTGTAATTTTTCATGTATATCAGTGTTGTGAATGAAACAAAACCGAACAATTAACTGAAAAGGAGTTGTAGTGTACCAAATAAAAGCCTAATACACAAGTCATGTATTGTTACCAAGTTTAAATATCAATGCCCATGTGAACCATTATGACGAGAATTTAGAAGACTGTCAAGCTTACAGGAAGTTAAGAAATGTTAAGGTCTGAACAATTCTTGACATTACAATTCTGGAAAACATATTAATAATAATAATCATATTTCAGTTGTAACATTAAACTACTAGGCTCCTATAAGCAATTGAATATAAGCATCGTAGAAATTCTTTAGTGAAAACCAAAACATCACATCATTCCACATTTTGTGTTATCCAAAAACTTGTTTCAATACTGGCAAGTAAAATACATTTAAATAGAGCATCATAAGCATTAAACTTCAATGATGATCCTTAAAACGGGATAAGATATCCTTTGTTTTAACCAAATTGTCATTAAAGCCAATCCTTGACCAGTATTGTACAATCGAGATTCCCATACCTACTTTTGTCGTTTTAAAATATGCCTCCGTGAATTCATACATACATACCTATACACAAACATAACTTTATTTAGTAAAGCAGGTCAAAAGGGGAATAAGACAACTTTACAGCTGATGTGGACCTACTGAAATAAATCAACAATAAAATAAAACACATGATAATGTATTATACATTAGATTATAAGATAAATAATCACATATGTATCAATAATAATAAAAGTCTGAATTCTTTTTATAAACTACAGAACTACCTTTTCCAAAAGTGATATTCATAACATTATGTGTTAACTGCTTCAGTTGACTTTTAAAACCTGTTGATTTAGAAAAAGATCTTACACTGTCAGACAGGGAATTCCAGGCAATTGCAGCCCTGTGTACAAAAGAATTACGATCGAGCTCAGTGTTTGGCTTATTAACTAAAATATTTAAAGTTTTCCTAAGATTATAGCTCTACAGCTCCTATGTAACAACTAATGAATTTATTTCCTCTAAACCTAAATTATAAAAAGCCTTGTGAGTAACAATTAAAATACAAAATTTATAAAAATATTCAAGAGGCATCCACCCCTAACCTTTAATGTCCTTTGGCAACTTATGAATTTGTCTAGCAGCTCTGATATGTATCAATGCTAATTTTTAAATTTGGAGCCAGAGCCCCAGACCACAACCCCACAGAGGACACTTGGGATTAAAGTCTTAAAATACAGAGTTGCTAACATAGATTTGGGTAGAAAACTTATATGTCTCAGTATTTTAACTTTGTTATTGAATGACACACAAATTGATTTAATATGCTGAGACCAAGACAGTTTGTCAGCGATGATAATCCCGAGACACACAGTAGAGGATATGTACCAGATAAAATCCTCGCCCAACTTCAGAGGTTCCAAAGGACCATTGAAGGGTCTAATGCACAAAATCATGCCTCAGATTTACCCTTGTGAATTATCAGTCTATTCTTAAGGCACCAGGTATACACCTGGTTAAGAACCTCTTGTAAAACTGGAACAATCTCAAGAACAGTGTCACCTATTAGATAGATTGTTGTATCGTCCGCATACATATAACTCCCCTCTGTGGACATGATCCGGTAAGTCATTAACATAAGTTGCAAAGAGTCTGGGGCCTAATACAGACCCTTGGGGTACTCCAACTTCAACAGGTCTTAGAGCCGATCTTATATTATGCCATTGACTTGGGTCCTTGGCACACGGTCGGAGAGGTAATCATTGATCCAATTCCACATACTACCCATTATTCCAACTCCCTTGAGTTTTTCAGCAAGGATAGTGTGATCTACACAATCGAAAGGCTCAACTATGCATGGAGAATGCAACTACAAGACAACTAATTTCACTTTATGGACCTTCCAGGAGGCTTCAGGCAGTTTCAAACACTTCCAAACTCTTTTAGAGACTCAGCGGTGCAACCCGCATCGATAGATTAAACTGCTAGTTGTTGGCTTGCGAGAGTGCAATGACTCCTTTCAGTGTAGTACAACTCGTACCGAAGATTCAAGCTGTTAAATGTTGTCTTTTAAGAACGTAAAAGCTCTTGCACAAGCTGCAGTTATAAAACAAGCCGGATCTGGGTGCGTTGGCTTGTGTGAGGAGAACTAACTCGTCAAACGGTCACCTGAAAAAAAAATACTCGAGATCAAGATGGCTGACTCAGAATAGCACGCCTTACGACACTAGACCACGTGACATTCGTGGACAGATAAATAAATGAGTAAATAAATAAATAAATAATTAAATCCGATCGTGCCATAACATGGCTATACAATTTGTGTAAGCCACACAAAAATGATAACAAGCTCGTAGATTCAATTGTCTAGCTTATTTGTTTTCTTCAATTTGTCGCGTTATGCTGTTGCGTGACATCTTAACGAGCGATTACTGTTGGAAGACCACTTATTGATACGTTGGGTTACTGTTGTCAGGAAATGTAATCAGTCCCGGATCGACTCAGTTACGAGCTAAAGACATCGAGTCACGGCTGCTTACCTCTAAAGCGACTTGCATCATTGCAGACCCGGAAAGTGCTATGTTTGTTGATGAGGTAAGGTATTTGGGTGATATGAACTTTCTTTAACCGGGGTGGCCCAATCAGCCATCAGACTGATATCCTAAGGGGCCTTGGTACATTCATTTCGGAGAAGCGTGTTCTGGCGACTAGACTGCTGAAAAACGCGAAAACCCTTTTTTTCTCTTTATGCTAATTAAGAGTACTAAAATGATTATTTTGCGAGGAGAAAGGGAATAAAAAACTAGCTTTGAATATCATAAACTTACGGAGGCCCAAAAGTGTCACGGCAATTTCAATTTGGCCACGGCAATTTCAACTTGGCGACGGCAATTTCAACTTGGCCGCGGTAATTTCAATTTGCTCTCGGCAAAATCAACGTGGCCACGGCAATTTCAATTTGGCCACGACAATTTCAATTTAACCACGGCAATTTCAACTTGGCCACGGCAAATTTCAATTTGGCCACGGCAATTTCAATTTCAATTTACTCACGGCAATTCCAATTTACTCACGGCAGTTTCAATTTACTCACGGCAATTTCAATTTGCTCACGGAAGTTTCAATTTACTCACGGCAATTTCAATTTGCTCACGGCAGTTTCAATTTACTCACGGCAATTTCAATTTGCTCACGGCAGTTTCAATTTACTCACGGCTATTTCAATTTGCTCATGGCAGTTTCAATTTTAATATGACCACATGTCAGCGGAATTACTGAAAAATCCCAGTAGAACTTGCGCGTAAAACTTGTAGCGGTTTAAAATGGCGGTAAACCCAAGAGTGACTTTAGAATCCTTGTTTTTTAAGGGTTATGAGTATCAGGAAATTCTCTACATGTTACGGAAACACTACAACATAACAATAAACTTTGGTACACTCAAGAGAAAGCTTAAACAGTACAAGTTACATCGAAATATGGTGGAGTTTAATCCCCAGCTTTTAAGAAACGCCATTGTTGACATAACAGATGCGCCACAATTTCCGCAAAACATCTTCCAGCGTTGGATCACAAAACTTTCCCCCCTAGGAAAATTGGCTTCGCCTGCTCACTCGAAGTGCTGTCTTATGAGAAATAACCTACAATGCACTTGGGGCTTATTGCTCGAGTAATAGAAATTGAAATTGCTGTGAGTAAATTGAAACTGCCGTGAGCAAACTGAAATTGCCGTGAGTAAATTGAAATTGCCGTGGCCAAATTGAAATTTGCCGTGGCCAAGTTGAAATTGCCGAGGCCAACTTGAAATTGCCGTGGCCAAGTTGAAATTGCCGTGGCTAAATTGAAATTTGCCGTGGCCAAGTTGAAATTGCCGTGGCCAAATTGAAATTGCCGTGACACTTTTGGGCCACCGTATAAACTACTTACTGCTTCGAAGGGACCAAACAGAACCCGTTTCAACTTCTTGGCAGAGTCGTATATTTTCAGTAACGTTGTTACCAAATGTGTTGAAATTTAAAGCACACATGATTACTTTTGTGAGAGAGTCCGGGTAGTCTGTGGAATTAAAAGTTGAACTTGCTTGCAGTTATGAGCAATCCGTCGGAAAAAGCATTTAGATATAGGTGAATCAGGAAAATCAGTGCAACAAGTTAAAAAAACATTCTTGAGGTCCTTGGTGTTGAATGATAGCATTATGTAAAAAATGGTCGGTAAAAGATCAACCAGATCTGAAATGAGTTGGAGTTGCATTCAATTTGTCTATTGAGCTGTTGACAGCTTTTTACTTTCATTGTAGGTTGCCAATTGTTCACCATATTTGAAATCAAAGTTACTGGTGAAAGAAGATGAAAAGAGTCCAGACAAGTAAATATATATAGTCCTTTCTTTGTGTCTTTGTATCAAAAAATACCCAAGGCTCTCTTGACTTAAGCATTTTTTTTGTACTTAGGAGAGGTTGGCTTCCTTTCCAAGAACTATACGCACAGGCCTCGAATGAGCATAAAGCAAGTACTCTTATTTCCTACAGTTTGTTGTTGTCTCATCGACTGGTCAATTTTTATTTATTGTAGATATACTACGATACTACTTTTAGCGTTTGCTCTTCGACTCAGTAAAGGTACCGCCGTTGTATGTACTTCTCCATGCGAATTCTTTGTGTATAAACACGAGATACTAGTCAGGGCGGACTCAACTGTAAATGTTTTTCAGTGCGAAGAAACACTGAGCAGCGAACCAATGACATTGTTTTTCACAAGTGGAACGACAGGACTCCCAAAGATGGCAGAGCACACGCATGCTAGTAGTGGGTTGGGGCACGCTATTACTGGAAAGTAAGTCTCATCAAGCAGTCATGACTTATAATCACACATCATTCGGCGAATTCCGCCGCGGGAGTAGAAAAAAATTCCATGAAGAAAAAAAATGGGCGTTAGCGCGCTGCTGAAAGCTCTAATTTTGACTTACGCGCCGCGGGAGCTCCGTGAGTCAGGCGCATGGATTTTTTTTGGACTCGCGCGGCGGATTTCGAAGGGACTGCTCGATCGTAGTCTAATTTCATGGTAACTTTTCGGGCCCTGAAGACTTATTCTGATTATTTAAAGGGGATTTTCTCTGCACACTGCGCTTTTTTCTCACGTTGTCTTGAAAACGGTTTCTAAGGTAATGAGATGTGACGTCAATGAGTAGTATCAGGTTATCATGGAAGTCAATTTTATGGTTTCTTAATCATTTCTGTGCAAAGTGAAACGACAGACACCCAAAGAGAGGTCAGTAGACAAAAGGTTGAAACAAGACGTTTCTGCCGGCCTGTTGATGGTTAAATTTCGGAGCAAAATACAAGATAAAGGTCGTGAGCGTCTCCTTCCAGCTTAGGTAAAGCTGTTTCGTTTTAATTTAAAAGTAAACTTTCAGTATTCACTTTCACTGACACTTTTTTTAGCACACATGATTTATCGAGTAGCTTGTATTTTTGACCGGTAACTTAAATTAGTATCGCTCAGTTCAAAATACCTTTGCTTTGCTACACAGATATTGGTTGGACAACATTCCTGAGGATGTCCATTGGAACCTTTCTGACACGGGCTGGGCTAAATCTGCTTACAGCAGCGTTTTTGGCCCATGGTCTCAAGGCGCCTGCGTATTCGTATACCATAAGGCACGTTTTGAGCCCGTAGCTATATTAGATGCGCTTCAAAAGTATCCAATCAGCACGTTTTGCTCGGCCCCCACTGTATATCGAATGATGATCCAAGAGGACCTTAGCAAATACAAGTTTCCGTCACTGAGGCATTGTTTAAGCGCAGGAGAGCCTTTAAATCCTGAGGTCGTAACTGAGTGGCGAGAGCAGACTGGGCTGGAGATAAGAGAAGGATATGGTCAAACTGAAACTGTAAGTTAGGTCAAACAAGAAGATGCCATAAATTTTGAACTTTGCTTTCACAACAGTTTAGTCTTTAATGAGGTACAAAAAATAGCATTTCCGAACATGTTTCCCCGGCAAATAAGACGATTTTTTCTGGTGATGTTATTTGACAGCAAATAGTATCACGAAACTGCATATTAATCATGTCGGCACTCTACCTACCACAAAATATTAAGGGCACGAATTATAACTGCTGCATACGGATAGTGTAGGAATATAGGTAGTTAGCCTTGATCTTAGAATTACCATAATCTAGCAAATTGGCGATTCCTTGATATATCAGCGATCAGATTTGCTAAATCTCTTTATTTAACTTTAGACCTTGCTGTGCGGCACCTTTCGTTGTCTCGAAAATCGGCCAGGATCCATGGGTAAACCTGCTCCAGGATACAACTTGACGGTTGGTGAATTTTCCAGTTACATTATGTCCGTCATAGTAAGTTGCTCATTAGATGACGACACGTAGTGATGTTAACGAAGGGAGGTGTTGTAGTGGCACTGGTAGTAGTAGACGGATTTATTACGTTGAGCTTTTTGGAGAGACATACATCCTCAGGTGGACCAGCTATCTTACTAAAACACAAAGCATTATGATAAGTGAATAGAACTATTTGGTATAAAACTCTGAATTACGACAGGGCAAGGTCGATGTTCCATTCTGCTGAGAACGTAATGCTTAAAACATTTGTATTATTTTCATATGACTTGAACAAACATTTGACTAAACCGTTGTGTTTTACTGCACAAGGTGTCCTTTCCTTTTTATGTCTTATTACCATTTTAAGACAGTTTCTGTCGTTAAATAACAACTTTGGAGAAAACGTCGAGCCGCTCGAAGCTCTGTGAGTAGACAGACACAAATTCAAGAAAATGCAACAATTTTATATTCTGTATACAAGGCCGCTAAAAGATTAGGAAAAAATTATTAAAATGTATAAACCAAACGTTTTCCACTTTGCCATCATGATGGCAAATAGCCAAAAACGTTTGGTTTAAACATTTTAATAATATTTTCCTAATCTTTTAGCCTTGTATATTGAATATACTTTATTAAGCGAACATTATGGACATAACAATTTTAAACGAATGTAAATTAAAAATTCGAATTAGTGATCTATTTCTCCAGTTAGAGGTCACTCATTTAAAGTTAATATTTGTGTTACTACGGTATGACATACTGAGTAATCTAATTTTTCAGATTGTGGATGAAAAAGGGAATGAATGCCCAGATGGAGTGGAAGGTGAAGTTGTTGTGGAACTCTCACCAAACAGACCCATAGGACTTTTTACTCGCTATGTGGTAACTTTCAAATTTTCATTTTTATGTGTTTGCACTTGTTTCTTGTCTAGCATTTTAGTTCACAAAAAATAACATGAAAAACAAAAAAACAGGCCTGTATGTGACAGTGTTCTTTGCCGAGGTCAACAATATCGCTAATCCAGAAAAACAATTTAAAGGTTAAAATTTAAAGGGTCAAAATTTTGCAAAGTACCATAGATTTAACACTCTAAAACGAAACAGGCTGTCGGCTCAGGTGTTTTTTTTTTTTTCTTATTCACAGGATGATCCGGATCGAACAAATGCTGTGTTCCACGACAATTTCTATTGGACTGGTAAATTAAAAGTGACCTTGCATGTAAATTTTTGGTCCTTAGACGCATGCACAACGTCCACTGAATTCCGTGACTTAACTTGAATATGAAATTACAGCCGATGCTTTTTGATGAAATGTTATAACTGAACCACAGGCCTTGTCGACGTTTGATGTATAACCCCTCTACTTTCTTCAAATTTTTACAAGATCACTAAAATACCTTGGACCTTGAAAACGGAGGATCTTGTTCTTAAGACTAGGTTTACACTAGAGGATATTGTTCCGGATTCGTGATGAATCCGACACGTTTTAGTACCGGATTGATTTTGCCGTTTACACGAAAGTGGACGAATCCGAAATAAAAACTCCCCGGTTTGGTCGTGTCTCCGGAGATTTTGAATCCGGAATTTAAAGTGGGAACTTTGAATCCGATAACTTTTGAATCCGGAAAGTTTTGTCGTGTAACCGCTTTTTTTCTCGAATCCGGATATTATTTCCGCCTGCAATCTTTTGAGTTTGCGGTGAAACCAAAATGGAGGATCTGGTGCTAACATTGCTGGCGGTCTCCGGTTGCCTAATCTTGTTGCAGGTTCAGGCGATAAATTTTATCATGTGTACCGCAGTATTTCTGAGGAAACGCAAATTATTATTGCAAGGAAGTTTAACGTCAGCCACACTTAATCGCCGACGACGTAGATGGCTTGGCATCTGTCCAACTCAAATTTGCCAGTCAC